TGATCACTGTATTAGTGTTTTCCACAAAGTGTCAGTTAGTGTCAGATTGTCTTCCGCAATATCACAGTTACACAATAAGTCACTGATTGCTGCCATTACTTGTATTAAATAAATAAATATTCCAGCATATATCCCATAGTTTGTAGACGCTATACCTTTGTGCAAACCAATCAATATATGCTTATTGGGATTTTTTTAGCAAAAATATGTAGCAGTATATATATTGGCCAAAATTAATAGAGAAATTTGATTATTAAGATTTTTTTATTGGATATGTTTTATAGCAGACAGTAAAAAATATTGTTTTTTTTTTTGTTCAAAATTGTCTGTCTTTTTTTGGTTATAAGCTCTATTTGTGTGAAAAAAATATATAAATTTCATATGTAAAGTATTGCATGACCGCACAATTGCCAGTTAAAGTAATGCAGTGCCATATAGAAAAAATGGCCTGGTCAGGAAAGGGGTAAATCTTCCAGAGGTCAATTGGTTAAAGTGAAAATCTGAGCAGCACAAACCAAAAATGAGATAGAATTCATTTTTAATATTCAAAGCAAACTCCCCCATTCATCCATGTCCCCATGCTTTATTTTACTGGGAAATCACTTTGAAAAACACCTCCCAGCATTTCTATCCATGGCCACCTTGAGTAAGGGCAGATGATTCATGTAGCATTTACTTCCACGCTCCATTTGAAAATTATGTGCCGTCTAAGTGAGATCCTCAGACACTGGTATATACTTGCCCATGGACACCGTGGATTCTGGCCATAGAGGAAAGGACAATATTTAGTATACCAGCCAACATATGGGGAGACTGTTCCATATATACTTTACTACTGTGCTGTTATCTGAAGCATCCACCTGTGGTACATAGGCTGATCTACGGGTCAATCAGCTACCCTTCATACAGCATACATTGGTAGGCTGGGCTCATTAGCACTTGTCAGGGGGTTAGCCTGGATGGACTTTGAGTCTTTCACTGTTGTCCGGAGAGAGCAGCTGTATATGACAGGATCAGAGAGGCTGGGTATACCCCCACAACCAGGATACAAGCTAATTCCAAGTAGGGTTGCCAGTTAACCTCTTGGAGCCGGCCGCACGCAAATGTGCGGCCTCCCGGTGTCTGGACCTTGACGCCAAGTGGCCGCAAATTTGCATGCAATTAACAAAAACATATGAGCTGAGAGCGCGCTCCCTGTGCACACATGTCCGGTACTCACAGAAAGGTCCCAATCTCCTCTTTAGATCGGGACCTTTCCCGATCATGTGACCACCATGACAGCGAATCACGGCGGTCACATGACCTAAAATCCAGCCCCACCTCCTGGCTTCATAAACCCTTAAAGGGCCGGGAGGCGCTGGCACAAAGGGGTTAAAGTACGCAGTGCCGAATAGAAAAAAATGGCCTGGTCAGGAGGGGGTAAATCTTCAGAGCTCAAGTGGTTAAAGTGGAAATTCACTATATTTTATTTATTTATTTATTTTATTGAGTTTATATAGTGCCTAAGGGTTTGCTCAGCGCTGTACAATAGAGGGGGGGACAATACATGAAACAGTACAGTAACAACAAACAGCACACAAGGGGTAAGAGGGCCCTACTCTTTCGAGCTTACAATCTAGGAGGGGGGGGGGATAGAGGTACAGGAGGAAATGGCTGTGGGGGATGGAGTGGTAGGAGGAGGGAAGGGCAGCGGCTGTTAGGTGAGGGTGGGGTAGGCTTACCTGAAGAGATGGGTTTTCAGGGAGCGCCTGAAGGTGAGGAGGGAAGGTGACAGTCTGATGGATTGGGGTAGTGAGTTCCAGAGGATGGGGGAGGACCTGGAGAAGTCTTGCAGTCGTGCGTGGGAGGAGGAGACCAGGGAGCAAGATAGAAGGAGGTCCTGTGAAGAGCGAAGGGTACGGGTAGGGTGGTACCTGGGAATCAGGTCGGTGAGGTAGTTAGGGGCAGTGTTGTGAATGGCCTTATAGGTCAGAGTGAGCAGTTTGAATTTAATGCGTTGGGCAATGGGGAACCAGTGGAGGGAGAGGCAGAGGGGGGTGGCAGAGGTGAAGCGGCTGGTGAGGTGGATGAGTCTGGCCGCTGAGTTCAGGATGATCTGAAGCGGGGAGAGTTTGCACTGGGGTAGGCCGGTGAGGAGGGAGTTGCAGTAGTCAAGGCGTGAGATAATCAGGGAGTGTACGAGTAGTTTAGTGGTGTCTGGGGTAAGGAAGGAGCGTATCTTGGCGATGTTCCGGAGGTGGAGCCTGCATGAATTTGTAAGTGATTTGACATGAGGTTGAAAGGAAAGGTTTGAGTCCAGAATGACGCCAAGGACCTTGGCTTGCTGGGCGGGATTGATGGTGGTGTTGTTGGTAGTGATGGAAAGGATGGGGGGGGGGGGGCACGGGAAGGGGGGAAGGCGAGAAGCTCGGTTTTGGAGAGGTTGAGCTTGAGGAAATGGAGCGACATCCAGTCAGAGATGTCGTTTAGGAGGTGAGTGATGCGGGGCGGAGAATGTGGGGGTGAGGTGAGGGGTGGATAGGTAGATTTGAGTATCATCAGCGTAGAGGTGGTAATTGAAGCCGTGGGAGTGTATGAGTTTGCCAAGGGAGGAGGTGTAGATGGAGAAGAGAAGGGGTCCAAGGACAGAGCCCTGGGGACCCCAACAGAGAGGGGGAGGGAAGGGGAGGTGGCACCGTTGTAGGAAACGCTGAAGGAGCGTTGGGATAGATAGGACGAGAACCAAGAGAGAGCGGTGTCTCTGATGCCAGGGGAGAGTAGTTTATTATTAGGAGGAGGGGGTGGTCGACCGTGTCAAAGGCCGCGGAGAGGTCTAGGAGAAGGAGAACAGAGTAGTCGCCTTTGGCTTTGGCGGTTAGTAGATCGTTGGTGATTTTGAGGAGGGCAGTTTCGGTGGAGTGCAGGGGACGGAAGCCGGACTGAAGCGGATCAAGGAGGTTGCTGTCAGTTAGGTGGGCGCTTAGGTGATCGTAGACCAAGCGCTCAAGGAGCTTGGAGGTGAGTGGCAGCAGGGAAATTGGTCTGAGGTTGTTGAGGTCAGTGGGGTCCAGGGAGGGCTTTTTGAGTATGGGGGTGATGTGTGCATGTTTTAGGGGGGAGGGGAAGACGCCAGTAGAGAGGGAGAGATTGAAGATGTGGGTAAGGGAGCGGATGAGGGAAGAGGGGGGGTGACTGGAGGAGTTGAGAGGGGATAGGGTCCAGGGGGCAGGTAGTGAGGCGGGCTTCTGAGAAGACTCTGGTGACTTCCTCAGTGGTAGTAGGGCTGAAGGAGTGCAGTGATGGGGGGGTTACGGTAGGCAGGGCCTTGGGTGTGGTGGGGGGCAGTGCCGTTGCGAGGTCAGAGCAGCACAAACCAAATATATATCTGAGCAGCACAAACCAAAAATGTAATGTAATTCATTTTTAATATTCAAAGCAAACTCCCCCATTCATCCATGTCTACATGCTTTATTTTACTGGGAAATCATTTTGAAAAAGACCTCCCAGCATTTCTTGCCATGGCCACCTTGAGTAAGGGCAGATGATTCATGTAGCATTTACTTTCACACTCCATATGGAAATTATCTTCTGTCTAGAAATCCTCTGCCCTTAGCTAAGGCAGGAAGGAAAGAGGATATACTTAGCTGAGAAAACCCCTCCTGCCCCCTGAAGACTCCTGGGATCAGGGGCGGACTGACCATTTGGAAACTTGGGCACTGCCCGAGGGCCCGAGGTCAGTAGGGGGCCCCATGAGATACCCCTGGTACCTTTTTCATAGGCTTTTTTTGTGTATGGGTATGGACACAGGGGCCCCATGATCCCCTATTGCCCGGGGGCCCCATGAGTTGTCAGTCCGCCCCTTCCTGGGATGTATGACATCATTTGCCTAGGCATGGAATCCAGGAAAAAATTGAAGAAATGCAAAAACAGGTTTAAAACAAGTAAAAATGATATGCTCCCTTTTCTATTTACTAATGCTAGCAGCATAAGGATTTAAAATAGTCAACGTTGACTGAGAGAGTGAAATTCCGCTTTTAGTTTCATTTTATTCATTTTGTGCGCTCAAAATCTTCCTGGAGACACAAAGCCAAAATGCTGCTAAGAAGCTGTTTTGTACAGATGCTTCTTTGCTCTCAAGTCAGCCTTTAATTTGGTCCAGTGGATAAATTACATTAATTTTTCATGCTTGAGATGCATCGGACATTGAATGATGGCACTGATAACCCGTTTGAGCAATTAGACTATTAGAGACATTATTTCATACAGGATTCTGCATTATAATGCTTCATTCTGCTCTGCATTTCTCCTGCCATTCATCAATTAGTAGTAACAGCTATAATTAAATATATTATCCCATCTTGTTCTCTGCACCTTATAATCATGCCTTTTATCTACACTGTACAAAGTACCAGTTTAATGTTTTGGATGAGCCTGACTGGCCAATGGCCATCTTGTAGTGCTTGCTAAAAATGCGGTATTAAACCCAAAACCAAAAATTTGACATATTGCAGCTTACAAATTCTTACATGTAGTGGCTGCATTAGTTTTCTTTTTATTATTTTTTTCCTTCTGTTTTCTCCTGGTGATCTATCCAGTAACACATTCCCTGTAGTAGAGCGCCTTCACTCTGCATGAAGGAGCAGGACTGCAGCATTGTTAATCTGGGGGGGGGGGGAGGGGAACGTTAGATGCACTATTAGATTTAGATAAACTAAAACAAATTGAAGCCAAACTCCAGCTAATACTTTTTAAGTTGTTACAGCAACATTTTCTTTTCTTTTAGGTTAAAGGTTTTACATAGTTACATAGTTAGTCTGGATGAAAAAAGATAAAAGTCCATCCAGTTCAACCAAACAAAAAAAGTTATAATCCTATACTCAGAGTTGATCCAGAGGAAGGCACAAAAACCGAGCATAGCATGATCCAATTTGCTCCTGCAGGGAAAAAAATCCTTCCTGTTCCTCCGAGAGGCAATGGGACATTCCCTGGATCAACTTTACCCAGGGGCGGACTAGCAACTCATGGGGCCCCCGGGCAATAGGGGATCATGGGGGGCCCCTATGTACTCGCCCACACTCAAACCACACCCAAAAAAAGCCTATGAAAGGTACCAGGGGCATCTCATGGGGCTCCTTATTGATCCCGGGCCCCTGACTTTACCTATAAATGTTAGTAACCAGTTATATTATGTGTATCCAAGAAATAATCCAGGACTTTTTTTACATAAGTGAACAAAAGCTGATCATCATAAGCACCCCTGTCAGTATTAAATGGTTTGACTCATGCATACATCATACATACTGAGGGGGGGTACAACTGGGGGAATCAATGGTGGAGAAGGATCTGGGGGTTCTGGTAGATCACAAGCTTAATAATGGCATGCACTGCCAAGCTGCAGTTTCTAAAGTAAGCAAAATCCTCTTTTGTATTAAAAGAGTTATAGACTCCAGAGAGAGAGATATCATATTACCCCGGTACAAATCATTAGTAAGACCTCATCTGGAATATGTAGTTCAGTTTTGGGCACCAATTCACAAAAAGTACATTGGGGAACTGGACAAAGTACAGCGAAGGGCAACCAAACTGATACGAGGCATGGAGGAGCTCAGCTATGAGGAAACTGAATTTATTCTCTCTTGAGAAGAGGAGATTAAGGGGTGATATGATCAACATGTATAAATACATCAGTGGTTCATATAGTGAACTCGGTGTAGAGTTATTTACCCTGAGGTCATCACAGAGGACAAGGGGGCACTCTTTACGGCTGGAGGAAAAGAGATTTAATCTCCAAACACGGAAAGGTTTCTTCACAGTGAGAGCTGTGAAAATGTGGAATAGACTCCCTCAAGAGTTGGTTCTGGCCAGCTCGGTGGATTGCTTTAAAAAGGCCTGGATTCTTTCTTAGATACACAGAATATAACTGAATACTAACATTTATAGGTAAAGTTGATCCAGGGAATATCCAATTGCCTCTCGGGGATCAGGAAGGAATTTTTTTTCCCCGAAGGAGCAAATTGGATCATGCTTTGCTGGGTTTTTTTTTTGCCTTCCTCTGGATTAACTGTGGGTATAGGACAGGGGTAGGCAACCTCCGGCTCTCTAGCTGATGTGGAACTACACTTCCCATGAGGCATTGCAACATTACAAAACTGAGTTCCAGCTATGATTTGCAGAGGCATGATGGAACTTGTAGTCCTGCAACAGCTGGAGAGCCGCAGGTTGCCTACCCCTGGTATAGGATTATAACTTTTTTATTTCTATGGTCGGACTGGATGGACTTTTGTCTTTTTTCAGCCAGACTGACTATGTAACTATGTGACTCAACCCAAAACTGCTACAAATGTACGACAGATTGTTCTTTTGAAAAACAACAAAATTACTGGTCAGATCACTAGGTGAAAATAAAGGAAAAAAAGGTTAGAAAAGAAAACTGATGCATCCAGCATATCACAAGAATTGGTAAGCTGTCATATAATACATGTTTGCCTTTGGGTTTAATATTTATTTATTTATTACAAGTGCGTATACTGTATAGCCCTGTCAATATACACAGCACTTTGCATATGCATTATACATTCACATCACTCCCTGCCCTCAAAGAGCGTACAGGTCCCTAACTCATATTCATATACTAGGGCCAATTTAGACAGGAGCCAATTACCCTACCAGCATGTCTTTGGAGTGTGGGAGGAAACCCCACACAGGCACAGGGAGAACATGCACATTCCAGGCAGGTAGTGCCGTGGTTGAGATTCAAAGTGATGACCCTAATGCTGCCAGGCAGAAGTGCTAACTACTTAGCCACTGTGCTGCCCTTTTAATTGACAGAAAAGGATGATTTACTAAAACAATCATATTTACACTCCCCTGTGCAAACGTCAGATATCCAACTGAGGTTAGGAGCATTTAAAAAATAGAGCCCACCTCTGAGTCCCATTGGGTATACAAAGTGTATACGGGCCGGTGTAAAACTTTCTCCTATAGTAAATCAGCTCCTTTATTGCAAACCCCCATTGCTCCTTCAAAGAAGAAGAACATGCTAAAATTTAGATTCATTTTATGGAAGGGAATTCTTAAGTTGCCTAATTGGGCAATTGTTAATGATTACTTATGGAAAAAGTCCATTATATGTAAGAGCGGCAATCAGGGCTAATCTATTCAACTCTGTGATACATTTTCTAAACAAAGAACAGCCTGAATCGTACATAATTAGCCTCTATTCTTGCATGCTTTTAATTGGTGTCTTTTTATTTCCCTGCAAACACAAATTTCTGCAAGTCACAGAAGAATTTCTTTGCTTGGAAAGAATGGGCAAGATATATTAAGAAAAGACTGAACACTCATTGTTACCATTGCAATTAGCCAGCCTGGGGCTTTGCAATCAGCTACAATGCAGCTGACAGTGAACTACTACTTCCAGCATGCTCTATAGGTGGACATCACACGTCATCAAGCTTCCACAGATCCATAGGTACACGTAAGAGTTTAGAAATGATTTAGACATCACTACCTGCCATTCTAAAATGGTGTGTTACAGAGAAACTCTTACCAAAATAGAAATACACTACCTCAAGTAAAAATGATATCAAACCCTTAGTTCATTTAACCACTTGCCCCCCAGAGGATTTACCCCCCTTCCTGACCAGGCCATTTTTTGCATTACGGTGCTGCATTACTTTAACTGCGCGGTCATGCAACGATGCACCCAAATGAAATTTATGTCCTTTTCCCCCACAGATAGAGCTTTTTTTGGTGGTATTTGATCGCTTGTGCGGTTTTTATTTTTTGCGCTATAAACGAAAAAAGACCGACTATTTTGAGAAAAAATATATTTTTGACTTTTTGTTATTAAACATATCCAATAAAAAATTTTTAAAAAATCTAATTTCGTCATAAATGTAGGCCAAAATGTATTCTGCTACATGTCTTTGCTAAAAAAATGTGTAAATTAACACCTTCCTGCCCTATTGCAGATTGACAGCCAGACACTCACCGTTGTGACTGGGCGTCATTTGACGTCCTGTCTAAACAAGCTGCTCACGTGGCCGCGTGGGCCACGTGGGCCGCGCAGCAGCGCGATCCGTCACCCGTTGCCAGTGTCATGTGACTGCTGTGACCAATCACAGCAGATCACATGTCAATTGTATACAATGGATGGCTTCCTGCCATGCCATCCATTGTATACAGTGATTTTGTTAGCTGTGACTGGTCAAAGCAGTCACATGATACAGAAGGAGCCAATCACAGCCCATCTGTATCATGTGATCAGCTTTGCCCAATCACAGCTAACCACAACAAAAGACTAAATGAATCAGTTTCATTCAGTAACAATGATTGCAAATATCAATGAAATACATTGGTATTAGCACTCATAATGTGTAAAAAAAAAAAAATCCTGATCACTTGCCCAGAGTAGTTCAGTGTTACTGTAGTAACATTGTATTGCTTTGGTCACAGTGTGTTGAAAAAAAAATAGTAAAAAAAGAAAAAATAATGTAATGAAAAATTAAAAAATAATAAAAAAATAAAAAAAATACAAATTAAATTATTATTTTTTATTTTTTTTCTCCAAAGAATTGTAGCAGAATACATTTTGACCTAAATTTATGAAGAAATGTTATTTATTTGCAAAATTTTATAACAGAAACAAAGAAAAGTGCATATTTTTTCAAAAGTTTCAGTTTTTTTTTGTTTTATTTAGTAAAAAAATAAAAACCCAGTGATGATTAAATACCACCAAAAGAAAGTTCTATTTGTCATTCTAAGTGTGACAGCGCTGAAAGCTGACAATTGGTCTGGGCAGGAAGGGGGTAAAAGTGCCCAGTACTGATGTGGTTAATTGATTTATGTGAAAGTTATAGTGTTTACAAATATATACTGGAATTTATTTATTTTTTACTAGTAATAGCAATGATCAGTGACTTATAGCGGGACAGCAGGACTGCCGCGGGCATTTCTGACACTGGGGGGAACTGACTATCTCAGTGACACCAATACAGTGATCAGTGCTAATAAATAGACCTGGATCTGGTGATTGACAGCCGAGGCCACTCTCTACCCGAAGCTAAAACATCACGTATATATACGTCATTTTGCACACCCCTGCTGCCCAATCACAGTATTTCACAGGAGGTAAAATAGTTAAACACTTCCATCATCTGATTTAATCACCTACTGAGTACGCAGCTTCTTCTCCTTTTAATCCTGTGTTCCAGCTGGTGACATGACCATTGGCTCAGGTTTCCTGTTTTAGGGAGGCTCCTTCCTGTTTCAGTGTCCTATGGAGCCTCCCTTGCATGCAGGGACTAGAGCTGTGTCTCCCTATACTATGTACATTTATAGAAACACACAGCTTCATAGCTTAGAATGGCAAGCACTCTCCCTCTCCCTTCTCCAAGCTAACAGACTGAATCCAGACTGCACTGTCCACTGGTAATTCTTTCCTGTGAAGACCAGAAGTTTAGGGAAGCAGCATTAATAGAGCAGGAGACAGTTTACCAGGGAATGTTTATTTTATTGTGCTCAATGTGTTAAACCAAAAAGCACTTAGGTTTTAATACTAGCATTGAAACATACTAGCAGACGGCTTTACTTTTCTTTTCTTGAGACCCTGTGCATAAAGTATCCTGGTCATGCACAAGCAGAATAAATTAGCAAGGTAAGCCACTTATCTTCATTTGTATTGTATACCAGGGCCAGTTGTAGGGGTGTATTTATAAATAAAATTGAATAGCTGTTCTGCCATCAAAACTGCACGTTAATTAGTTCTGTGCAAGCAGGGCATACGCTTAGATTATACTCTCTGCAGATCAAATATTATTCATTGAAAAAAAAAAAAGTCATGAATGGTGAAAATACCTAATTATTGTCATTAGATGGCTCTGATTATCATACCAAATTAGTATGATTTTTAGTTCTATCTACTGGTCATCATTCAGTATTTTCCCCTCTCACACTGTTTTTTTTCGATGAATAACAATTGATCTGCAGAGAATATAGCCTTCTATGTATGTGATTTTGCCCCAGCATTGATGGGCAAACAGCTATGCAATTTTTTTTTCTTATTAAATATGTTGTACACCACATAGGGCTCTTCCTAAAATGCAGCAGCCCTTACCAC